AACCGTAATGCAAGAAAAGAAAAAGAAATAGATGCACTAAGGTGTTTGTTATATGGCTGACGCCGGATGATAATGGGAAGTTGCTTTTAGGGTTATCATTGTGTATAAAGTTGGCCTACCTTTCTTTCCATGGACATCCATGTGAAGTTACTTTCAGCATGCAGTTCTTAAGGGACATTGCTCATTTTTTACTGATTTACTGGGTTTTATGAAGTTGATGGCCAGGTTAAGTGTGAGAAGTGGATTCGTGATGATGACAACCACTCTGAAGAGTCAAAGGTGTCATGGTGGTTAAATAGACTGATAGGAAGAAAGAGGAAGGTGACTGTAGATTGGCCCTATCCTTTTGCTGAGGGAAAATTGTTTGTTATCACCTTAAGTGCTGGCTTGGAAGGCTACCATGTCAATGTGGATGGGAGGCATGTGACATCTTTTCCTTATCGAACAGTGGGTACACTAATCATATCTCCTTTAACTGTGAGAATATAAGGAATTGTTTTAACTGTTTTAACAATATTCAGGGATTTACTCTTGAAGACGCTACTGGACTATCTATAAATGGGGGCGTTGATGTGCATGCTGTTTATGCTGCTTCATTACCAACATCACATCCAAGTTTTGCTCCTCAGATGCATCTTGAAATGCTTCCTCAATGGAAAGCTCCGCCTCTCCTTCATGTGAATGTGGAGCTTTTCATTGGAATCCTTTCTGCCGGAAACCATTTTGCAGAACGGATGGCGGTGAGGAAGTCTTGGATGCAGCATAAGTTAATCAAGTCTTCCCGTGTTGCGGCTAGATTCTTTGTAGCCTTGGTAGGGATGGGTCCACCTTCCCTTCCGCAAAAGATAACAAAACCCTATGAATAGTTTTCTTTTTAATGTGAAAATGGTTTAACATGTTTTTTTTCTTCATTTCTTGTACAATATAGCATGGAAGAAAGGATATAAATGTTGAGATAAAGAAAGAAGCAGAGTATTTTGGTGATATCATTATAGTCCCATACATGGATCATTATGACCTTGTTGTGTTGAAGACCATAGCTATCTGTGAATATGGGGTGAGTGTTGGGAGAGGCAAGAAATGTTTCTGTTTTGTGTTCTTTTTGCACCCCCCGGGGGTTATTGGCATGTTGTTGATGATTGTTGACCGTGATACTCTGCAGATTCGTTCAATTGCTGCTGAGTATATTATGAAGTGCGATGATGATACGTTTGTGAGGGTGGATTCGATCATCAGGGAAGCAAGAAAAGTTCCAAGAAATAGAAGTTTTTACATTGGAAATATGAATTACCACCATAGGCCTCTTCGCCACGGTAAATGGGCAGTAACATATGAGGTATAAGATTTTATGAGTATTCTTTATTCTTGAGTGTGCTCATTTGCGTTGTTTTTTTCTATTTATACCTTTTCTTTATGTAGTTAGATTTCTGTAACCTAATGTAGAATCTTCCTTAAGAAAGCTGCTTATAATATTTCTTATTGTAGTCTATGGTTGCTAATCATCTATTTATCACTGCCGGTGGAAATTTCATTAATTTTGATTAAACCACTGCTAATTTGTTGTGTGATTTTTCTGATTATTATTAATATTTGGGGTCATGATATCTTATGCCTAAAATAATTTGGCATGGGGTCTGCTGTGTATAACTGTTTTGTGCAGAACCATTTGACACTTATCGTATCTGCAATTTGCTGACTAGTTAAACATAATTTCTAGGCCAGTAGTTAAAATGCTGAATGCTATTTTCCCCCCCTTGCTGCATGGTTTTGAGTGGAAAATTACGAAAGAAAGTATTCTGCTCCTAACTGGAAAACGGTACTATCTAAAGCAACGCGGACGGTTTCATGGATTTTATTCCCTTAGTTGTTCACGTGGGGAGAGAGATAGAGTGGGACCCCTGTTGGACCCTCACTAATAGGCAGGACCCACCTTTATCTCTATCTCTGTCGCTTTCTTCACTTGAGCCATTGAGGGGATTCGGATCCGAGTTTCACAAGATATACGTAAGCTTTTTTAATGAGCTGATGTTCTAGATGTGTATCATATTCTTCCTGACTTTAAAGTTGAGAATTGCACGCCACTCTTACTTTGTTGCATTGGTGATAATGTGGGTTTCTCTTGTTTTATTTTTCATGAACTTCCAGGAATGGCTGGAGGAAGAGTATCCTCCCTATGCTAATGGCCCAGGTTACATAGTCTCATCCGACATTGCTGAGTTCATTGTATCCGATTTCGAGAAGCACAGATTAAACGTACGTTTAACCTTTTACAAATGATACAATTCTTTAGTGTCCATCTTTGCGAGAATCTATTGAACCCTATATTAGTGAATGCCTTTGTCTGAATGTTGTTGGATGCAACTACAAGCTTATTTCTTCCCAGAGTTTTAAAAACTGCGGTAGAGACAAATTCTTCAGTTGACATTATTAATCTGGAAGAGACATTTCAACATGTCAAATGCATTTTCTGGGCTAAATTATACAAAGCTCGCCTGAATATTGAATCATGTCTAAATAACTCCATTAATCTTTAAAACTTGAGATGAAACCTCTCAAAACTTCTAAGTTTGTGCATATAATTCCTGTTGTTAATTATTTCATTATTTCACTGACATAGCGTAATATGTTATTGATCATGTGCTCTTTAAATGGAGTCAACTGAAATAATGGACAAGTTAATGGTGAAGAGATTTATTTGTATAAATTTAGGGTGTTCATGTAAAGTTTTAAATTTCATGGATGTTTATCTGCACATATTCTAAAACTCAGGGAGCTTATGTATAATTTAGCCTATCTTTTTCCCCAAATCTTTTGATGGGCACTTAGGTGGGGTAAGGACCTTACCTCAAAAGCTGGTTATTGAGCATTACATACCACTCAATGTGGGACTTGATATCGCATGCGACAAAGTCCTCATTAGATTCTGTATTAACGAGCTTAGATATGTACGTATAATTGACTTGATATGTCTTAAACAGCAAAAGCATTGGCTTTCAAGTGTTAGTATCATAACAAGATCAATCACAATGTGGTGCAGTTGTTCAAAATGGAGGATGTGAGCATGGGAATGTGGGTAGAGCAGTTCAACAACTCAAAAACCGTAGAATACGTGCACAGCTTGAAGTTCTGCCAGTTCGGTTGCATCGAAGATTACTACACAGCACATTACCAGTCTCCGCGACAGATGACGTGCATGTGGGACAAGTTGCTGCATCAAGGAAAACCCCTCTGCTGCAGCATGAGATGACACAACCAGAACATCACAGAAACTAGGATGCATAGAGGAGGAGGAAGGAGGCAAGTTTTGTGGTCATATTTTGTATCTCTGTAGATATGATGCTCTTTGGGGGGTTTCCTTTTTTGTAGTTCATATATTCGTTCATTGTTTAGCCTCTCTTTTTTTAACTCCATTTGAAATCCCCCAATATATATATATATATATATATATATATATTTATGGATATAGTTGGATATTATACAGCAAGCGGCTGAGAAACAAACCTATGGTTTGTGAATCTGTCGTTTTAAACCCAAAGGTGTGTAGCAGAATAGAATGAAATTTCTGCTTTGACTTTATTTATTACTTGGGTCTGCTTTTTACGTTTTGGTTTTTCAATTGTGAGAAAATTTTTGGCTAGGTTACTGGTGAATGGTTGGTTTGAGAAATGTTTGGTTTTGATAGTGGTTGAGAGTACAATTTCTCCAAATTAGCAAATGGGTCGCTTGCCGGGAAGTATATATTAAGCATACAATTATTGCATTATTGTAAATAATATTGTATTTTTTTGGATGTGATAATTTTTAAGTAATTTATGATAGTTATGAAGACTCACTGGGTTTGCTATGAAGCATCGTAGAAATTTCCTATCGTGGCTTTTGTCTGATGGGATTTCTTTGGAGCATCTGGGAAAGCTACCCCTTTTTTTTGTGCAAGTTAGATAACCCTACACGATATGATACTTTTGTAGCAAAAAGAATGTGTCATGATTTTTTTTCAAAAAAAAGGGGCTAACTAATGACTTTTTTATTAATTATTTGGATTATTTCAATTCGATATATATTTAAGTTTATTTTATTAATTTTAAGAAAGTAATTTGCACGATAGAATAATAATAAAATGATAATAATTTAAAATATAAAATTTATAGTGTGTAGAATAATATGGGATTGGTTAGAAGTTTTACTCATTGGTCCAAAATCGGAGCACAACAGGAAAATGTATATGAAATTTATTTCTTAAAATTATGGGCAGTTATCAATATTTTCTACAACTTTTCGGTAATGTTATGTTGTTTTTAAATCCGCATGGTTTAACTCAACTCTTGATATTGTTTAAATGAAGTTTGTTTTATTCAACTAAACCAGTTAAGAATTCAATTAAATTTACTTTTTTTTTTAAGAATATCGATTAACTTTTAAAAGTCACATTGAACTCCAATTAATTTAGATTAGTTGTAACTTCTGTTATTATAACAATATAATAAATCAATTAAATTGATTTTTATGAGTGAAAAATGGTTATTTTCTGGTTGCATATTGTCAATGGCTTTATAACGTAATGGTATGAAAACTCTCCTATAAAAGCAAAATTGCGGATTTAATCTCACTTAAAATCTCAGCCTACTGGTGCTTATCCTTTTAATTTAAAAAACAAATTGTTGAAATAGGAAAAAATTATTCATATTACAAATAAAATGTCCGACATATGACTGCTTGTTTGAGGCAGAAGCTTAAAGATATGATGCCGCCTTAATAGCGGAAGAACGACTAAGGGCATAAAGGTCATTGGAGCTTTTTAACTGAGTAGGTAGGCATAAAGCAAAAAGAGTCCTTTACAGAGAGAGATTCTCTTCCACTGGATAGAGACCACACAGTAACAAGTCAGAACCTCATTCCATATTCTTTTCTTTTGATAATGCCCATTTCAACCTTCTGCTGTGATCAGTCACAGTATTGTAAGATATAGCTAAAATGGATAAATAAATAAAAACTAAAATGGATTTGAATTTGCTCACAATAATTGAGTCAGAGTCAGAAGAATTCAAAACTCTCGGAGCAACATCGCAAATTTAGATATTACAACAATAATGACAAGTCTCATATATATTACAAAGTGGACTCGACTAAAAGAAATCATCATGAAAGAACAGCATTTTTTTATTTTAGCTTTCATTTGGGTTTATTTGCTACAGAGGAAATTACAATGGTCCTCTCACTCTTTGACTAGAAAAGTCCCACATGATATTTTTCCCCCTTCAAAACTAGTGAAATTGACTACACAAGTACCAGTAATGTCAACTTACAAGAAGAACCAAACCAGTAACCAGGACTTGAGATGGATCAACCAAGCAACTCCTGAAAAAACGAAATATACAAAACAAATTTTAATATTAGACATTGAAAGATGACAGGACAAAATATATAGTATTTAGGAATAAATACTAACGTATATAAAATCAAATCCCTAGTAAACTGTACCATTCACAAGCTATAAACAGTATAACTTATGGTGATGTGGAGGAGTAAAGAGGAAAAGGGCGAGTTTGCTTACCATTGCCGAGAGCACTATTATAAGAAGGGAAGTAACAATCATTTGTAGTGTTGATTCCATTAGGACAATTACAGATGAAAGAATTGGAGGGTCCTGAGTAGCCACAATCTCCATAGCTTCTCTCACAAGCAGCACAAGGGGGTGGGAAATCATCAGTGACGCTGAACTTATACTTGATAGCTATCCCATAGTTCCATTTCTGAGGATCAGATGGCTGATCGTTGTATCCATAAAACCCAGAATAAGAAGCACATTGAAGTTTCTGCAAATCCATCTCAAAAGAAGGACCAAGATTCACAGGAGTATAAACACAGCAAGAAGATATAGGCATATTGATGGTGCTGATAGGCCTGCAAGAGTAAAGAAGGCTGCAAATTGGTGTGCTTTGGTCACACAAAAGCTTAGAACTTTTCCCAAACGCATTATCCCCATCATTAAAATCACTTGGTGTGCAAATAGATGAAGAGTTATTAGAACAATCTAACAGAGCAAAAATGGTGGAATCGTCAAAAGTGAAAGGAGCATCTGAGTTTAGGCCAAATCCTTTACTGGGAACAGTGAAGGAGCATGTGGACATGGTAGGGTCTGAGATGAACAAGACGTGGTTCGTGTAGTCAATCGAGTTGACATAGTAAGAACCAGTGTGAGTTTTGAATGTAAGCCTTTGTTCTGAGCAAGAAACATAAGGTTGGAAGCGAGGATCACCACAACCTGGGCCACTTCCAAAAGGGTATTTCAGAATGTCTTTCCCACAGGCTCTCTGACAGATTTGAGCACAGATCAGAGAAGGAAGAAGAAGAACAAGAAGAAGGAAGAATAAGATAGAAGCCTGAGGAAGTACTGAAGGATTTTTCAGCTCCATTATGAGTTCTCAGAGAAGTTGTGGAAGAAGGATGAAGCTCAGAGGTGATATATATTGTATTGTAGCAGATGAGATGAGCATTGCCTTTTTTATGGTTTTGTGATATAAAGAGGTTTGTGTAATGCTTCTTTTTGGGGTTCTGTTCTTTTGCTTTTTACTATTATAATAGTAATAAATTTGATGCCATTGTTCTCCATGGCTCTTCTTCTCTAGTTCTTTATCATTATGGATATATTCTAGAATTCTGGTTTTTGCTTACTGCTATACAATTAGAAGGAGCTTTAAAACTTGTTCAACTTTGTTGAGTTCTAAGACCAAAGTCAACGATACCACATGGCCACATGGTTGAGCTGAGCAGCCCAAATTATTAGACTCATATATAAGTCACAGGTAATTAATTGTTCTTTGATTTCCAACATATCATGTGATGAATATTTGGGACTCAAACTTTTAAGTTGATTTTTCATATACTTCTGTTTCTCAAGTTTAGGTTCTTAATCTGGTAACTTAATAATGCATTTGTCCTCCTGACAATTCTATGATTCTGATCAAGTTATATATTAGTCTATTTGAGTAGTCTTTAATTAATTTATATTTTCTTATTTATTATAGACTATTGATAAGCGACATTCTTAGTAGGGAAAAGAAGATTTTGTATGAAAAAGAAGAGAGAGGGGAATAGATTCTTTGACATCAATATCAATATTAATGCAAAATAAAATTATAGAAAGTCATGTTTTTTCCTTTTTGGATACTAATATAGAAAGTCATGTTGTTTACAGGTAAACAATGAGTTATACCTCAAACCTTATGTAACACATGGAAGGCCCACCTAATTATACATATTATTTATTTTTTATTTGGAAAAAAATGTGCCTTTGATCCCCTAATTTTACATGAAATTTCATATTGCTATCTTTATAAAGTACTTTTTTTCAGTCTTTTAACACTAACATCATTAGTTTCGAATGATGAATTTTTGTGTGTCAATTATTATTATTTAAAATTAAACTTAATATGTGAATATTTGAGAATGCTTTGTAAACATTTCAAAATTGCAATGTCAGCATAACATTAGAGTTAAATAACTGGGAAAAAACTTTATTTAATTAAAAAATTAAAATGAAATTTTGTGTAAAGTTAAAAGTACTAAAATATATTTTTCTTTTTCTTTTTTTATGAGATTCCTTACATTGCAAATTGTTTTTACAAATTACTACATCCGATCCTTAATATAAGACCCTGTTTGACTCTTATTTTGGTTCTAAATATAAGATCCCAATCCATTTTGTCTCTCATATTTATACATTTTTTTTCCAAAGTAACCCTTCTAATAATAAGAGTTCTAGTCAATACACTTGATTAGTAAGAATATTTTAGGAAAGACAACACCTATTTAAGACAAATAACTAACTCAACTTACTTCCTTAATCTCCTCAAATTAGTCAACTGGCTCTTATAATTAGGACTGGGGTAGTATAATCTTATACCATGAGTTGCTATATTATTGAGCTCTTGGGATATAACTTGCCTAAAATTGTCACATGATCAAGACATTAGTAAAATGCTATTATTGTTTTTTATGTGAAAAAAATTTAAAGTTGCTTATTTTTTAACAAAAAGAAAGAAAAAACACATTCCTACTAATTCTAATTCAACCCTCAAAACAAGGAGGACCAAACGTTGGAAAGCTTTGAGAAAGTGAAGACTAATTTCATAATGAAGCTTTTCGGAGTGGCAACACACTCAAGCGATTGATCATGATAATTATATGCAAAGAGAATAAGAAATCCAAAAGATGTGAGTTGAATAATGTTGTGATGATTACCTCTACTCTTTTATCCTACTTTTCTTCCAATTATCTTTATATAATTTTTTCTTATTATTATACAATTATTGCATCGAATCATTACCTCATGCATTGACAAATTTGAATAATACCAAAAAAATTTTCTGGGATAATAAATTAAAAAGTTAATAAAGCTTCATACATATCCCAATAGAGATAATTACCTATAAGCTAAAATTTCATTTGATGGCTTGGGGCAGGTTAATTAAGATAAACAACGACAAACATACCAATTGATCGATGAAGTGATTGATGTAATTAAAAAAAAAATCTACCTTCTTTAATCTTAAATATGTCAACCGGATAACTAATTTGTAGAAGATAAAAAAATTAGCTAAATTAGTTAGTTGTAAAAAAAAAAAAATGCTCGCTTTGTTAAAATGTACTCTTCCGATTTTAAATGTAAGACTCATTTTATAGTGTAAATTTCACTATAAAATGAGTCTCATATTTAGAACCGGATGGGTATTATTTAATTAGTTCGCATTAAAACTATTATTTGATGAAAAACCCTCAATATATATAATAAATAAGGATAATATGAAGAAATAATTATCAATTTAAATGACAAAATAAATTGAGGTTATATATTTAAAATCAAAATAAATTTCTTAATGAGCATCTATATTTGAAATTTAGAGAGCGTAAACAAATCCCACCTTAAGCAGTTACATTTAGCACATTACAGTTTGACTTGATCATATTTCAGATCTAGACAATAAACATCATCCCAAAAAAAAAATTTTATGGGCCATCAATTATCTTTTTAGGTGTCTTGTGCTCATACATACAACTATGACCTTGTAATTAGAATCTTTCGCAAATTATGTCATTGCTGAACTAAAGCTTGGACCAAATATTATGATAAGAAAATTTCAATAATTCAGAAGAATCCGCTTCAAGAAGAGTTGGGAGGAAAAGCCTCAATGATCTGCTGTGCCACATGGATTTTTGACGCAAAATAAAAATTCTGTTCAGAAAAACGCGTCGAAAGCACCAGTGGTCTAGTGGTAGAATAGTACCCTGCCACGGTACAGACCCGGGTTCGATTCCCGGCTGGTGCATTCTTGGCTTTTTATTTTCCTTTTCCTCGGTTTGGCATGAAGCTGTACGGGTGTGCCTTTATCGTTTTCCGGCAATCACTTTTTTTTAAAAAAAGGTCAATTATATAAAAAGAAGGAAAAATCGTAAAAAAAATTATCCATAGGGATTCATTCACAAAAATTATTGTAAAACTATTATTATCAAAATCCATACTAATATTTTTATGGGTCCTTATTTATATATTTTTTTTGGCTGTCTTTTTTTACGATTTTTCCTAAAAAGAAATCAATTATACTCCCTCCATTTTTTTAATAAAAAAACAACTACTAAAATAATGTAATTTGAAATATTAGTTAAATTTAATTAAAAAATAAATGTGTAAAAATATATATTTCAATTAAACAATAATATTTACGTCAAGTTTCTTATATCTATTGTATGAGGTTCTCCAATTATGCATAATCATATATCTTAATTTAAAAATATTAAAATCTAACATCATTTAATTATAAATTGATATAAAATAAAAAAGTGACATATGGCGACACATAATTGAAGAATTTGACATGATAAAAATAAGGAATTTGATATAAATTTTTTTAAAGAGATAATGAGTGAAAATTTATTGCAAAGGATAATAAGTAATATATATTTAATAATGATAAAAATATTTGACCAAAAAAATAAGGATAAAAATAAAACGACAAATTTAAAATTTCAGATAAAAAATAATTTATTTTTTATTAAAAAAAGGGAGGGAGGAAGTAATCTTCTGAAATTATTTGGCTATGAATTTCCATACACACATATATATACACATTCTATGGGAAGTTTCTCCTAACTGATAGCAAAAGAAATGGCTTCCTTATGCACATGCGCAAATTTTAACTGCCAATCTTTGAACAAATAACCTAATTTCACCCACTAGATTTGTAAAGGGATAATCAAATATTATAAACTCTTGCAGACAAATTAATTGCTTCGACATAACTAGAATATAGACAAATTTTCCCAAAACCTTTAAATCAGCACGAATTGTGACCCAATATAATTCTAATTAACTCTGCAATGACATGGAAACTCTTTGAGTTTGCAGCAGAAACCACAAATCCATTGTTCTTCATCATCACAAGCCAACCACATTTTATTTTTTTATACTATTTTCGCTCGTAACTTTTAAAGATCTAATGTGAAACTCTCTCCAAAACTTTATGTAAGAGACCTTTTTTTAAGGATAAATTATTTCTATTTATAAGAAACACTAATAATTTGTTTAAAATTATTGTTATTTTTTTATTTTTATTATTTGTTGGTTAGTCTCACTATATTATTAGTTAACTATCTGCTCATAGCTTGTCCTACTTACTCTCTCCACAAATATTGTGCTTTCTGAAAAATAAGTAGCGCTTTTTATATATTTATTACTTTAAATTAATTTTAGCTATTTTTTAATATACATAATTCAGTTATATATATCATTAAAAGGGGAAAAAAAAAAAAACCAACACGAGTAATGCGAGACACCATGGTTGGCCAAAGGTTGTTGAGGTTACTTTGTTGCTTTGAAAAGCTTCCCTTTGAATGCAAAATATTCTTCACAGCCGCACTGGTACGGGGCCATATCATTTGCCCTTTTCTTTTCAAATGATGCTCCATTATAAAGCAAGAAGATAGCATCTGATCTATATAAATAAATATATATATATATATACTAGTTTCAGTCCTTAATATAAAATTTAACTTATAGTGCAATAATTAACATAATTATGTAAGCAATTAAATAAGGATATATTAGGAAAAAAAAGTCTTGTCTTACTGTAATGTCCTTAATATAAAATTTAATTTATAGTGCAATAATTAACATAATTATGTAAGCAAATAAATAAGAATATATTAGAAAAAATGTCTTGTATTACTGTAATGTCAGTGAGACCTCCAAAACTTGGCTTGATATGTACTTTGTAATAAATTAACAGGCACTTTCATGAACCAGACTTAGACATGGTAATAATTTCATAATGGTTGGAATAATGATTTCACTGTTTTCATAACAGTGAAATCAACAGCGTAAAATGAGGTCCACAAATATTTTTTCCCATTTTTTGTTATGTTTATATTT